TGAGATCTTTTCCTTCTCTGCTCCCCTACCCCAAAGAACCCACAGCAGCAGAAGCAATAGGGGGAGTGGCAAGCAAGCAAGCGTCTGCAGGCTACATGTTAACCCCTTATGGGCCAGATGCAGCCCACAGGCCACCAGTTGGACAGATTTGCCTTAACTGATGGACAGTTCAACAATCCTTCGTTTCAACAAGTAGAATATTCAAGACCAATGACAGCAATGGGGAAAACTAACAATGGCAAATGTAAGGTAACATAGACCACTTTGCCAGGTAGGTTTACGTCATGGAAGTTTTCCTACTATATGCACTTGGACATTCCTAATAGGAGTGCAACAGAAGATCTCTAGGTGTTAGAACCATCTAGCATCCAGAAAGTCAGACAGAGTGAACGGAGATCGGGATGGGGTATTCTACTGTTGTCCTGAGAGTACAGGTTGGGAAGCAGAGGCAAGGAATGCAATCCTACACTGACAGGTGCAGGAGGTCCCAAAACCGGGGCAGTCTAGGCCAGATTGATGCTATCAAGTGACTTGGACCTAGTCTTGCTGCACCTTTGTGACGACTCATGCAATGACGGGGGCTAGGGGGAAAGGGGGCCCTGTCCACCAAGGTATCTGAAAGGGTACCCTTATTGAGACCTGCCTTGGAGCAAGCCTCTGGACATGCAGATAGCTGATATGTACTCTAACTACTTTGGAAGGCATCTCTCACCAGAGGTCATGGGTGACCAAGGCTGAAAGGGTCAATGGTGTAGGACTTTGGCAGGAACTGTCATTTTTATCCCTAAGCAATAGCTTCTTTGGAGGATTAACTGTAGCTAGGCCTGCAACCCTTTGAAGTGTAGCCAGGTATGTGGCACCACAAAGGTATAAGCTGCCATGTGGCTGAGGAGGGAGATGTATGATTTTATTAAGGCCTTTATGTGCTCTTCCAGCTGAAGGATCAGTCTCCTCATAGAGATTGCACCATAGGAGAAGCGCTCCTATGGCAGAAGTGCCTAGACTGCTGTTGTGTCCAAGGTATCTCCTATAAGGTTCAGAGACTGAACTGGCATTAGGATTCCTTTTTGGTAGTTTACCCTGACACCCAGTAAGTAAAAAAGCTCTGTGGTTATTCAGACATTGGCAGATACAAATTGTTGTAGGGAATTTGATCAGCTAGCTGTCCAGGTTAGAAAAGACTACAATCCCCAGTTTCCTGAGATCCACAGCTACTACCACAAGAACTTTCATAAAGATTCCCAGGACAGAAGAAAGGCTAAGATGAAGAACCCCATATTGATTATGGATCTGGGAAGCCTGGGCAGTAAGAAAATGTAGGTGCCACCCATAGGAAGGATGGATGACAATGTGAAAATAAGTGCCTGGTAGATCAAGAGATGCCTAGCTAGTCCCTTTGTTGCAGAAAGGGAATAATGTCTGCAAGTGTAACCATCTCAAACTTGAACTTATAGATCTACCCATTCATATTTCTTAAGTTCAGGATCAGTCTCGATCCTCCTTTTCTTTTTGGAATAAGAAAGTATGCATATCTGGGGCACACTGAACCACACCTAGAGATAAGAGTGACAACACCTGCTGAAGAAGGCTGTCATGAGAATGGTCTCTGAAAAGAGACAGCGAGGGTAGATTTGGGGAGTGAAGAGTGGTGGTCTCAGTAACACAGTCATCTCTGATCATGCCTGTGGCTCATCAGTCCAGACTGAAAGGAAGGCAGCTAGTGCCAAATTATGTCAGCTGTCTGCAAAATAGCCTTGTTAACTGGAAGAGCTAAAGGGTATAGTTAGGGTAAAAAGTCCATCAATGAATGCATGGGTGTTTTAACAGTTTCCCATGGAGAGAGGTTGAGTCCTTGTGCCATGTATCTGATGGGATCTGGGAAGCCTCCAAGTTCCTTTGCTGAAGGGACAGAGAAAGCACCAGTGCCTGAGGAGGTAGGCAACTTTCTTGCCTCCTCTCAAGGGAATGAATAGCCAGGGTAACAGAACTACCCCATTAAATAGAAAAAAGGAGATACTCATGTGCGCCTGAAGGAAGAAGGAGGGATGTGACTCTAAGCAACTGGAACACACTGCAGCAATTCTGCCTATGGAAGAGGGTGTTAAAACTCCATGGGCCAGGGAAGATATAAAGGCCAACTCCAACTGGGTGGATACTGGGATCACAGTGCTGTGTATGATTGTTTCTATGATGACTGTGATGAGGAAGCCCTCAGCAACTGGAACAGAGAGACTGAGTTAGAATCAGGGTTACCTTCAGTGTGGGAGTGCCTCAGGGTACCTTGAGAAGTCAGTGCTGGGACATTATAACAGTGCTGGGGTTTGGAGACAACCAAAAGGACTTGCCCAGAATGAACATGCACTGCTTGATCTCTTATTCCTTCCTTGTCCTGGTTTTAATTGATGGGCAAAGGTCATGCATCTCAGGCTCCTGAGACATCCTGAAGCAGTAAAAACATCTCATGTGGAAACTAAAGGCAGGAGTGC